CTTCCAGCACTCCCACAGCGACCCGGCCTTGCCCGACCACGTTAGCTGGTCCAGACCAAAGAGACCAAGCGGCAAGGTAGCCTTAATCTCCAAAAGCTGCGTGGACATTGCTTGCGGGGGTGTAGCTCAATGGTAGTAAACACGGTAATACGTAAAACTCCTCCCCCCGGCGACCATGCGTTTTGCGCACAGCAAAGGCAAAGAAACAACAAACAAAGGCAACGAGGACGATTCAAACGAGGGCACCCCTCCGCCGCCAGCACCGGCAGCAGAGAAACAAGACGCAGGGGGACGCGGCGGGGCGGGCTGCGCAGCGGCGGCAGACGCCCACAGACAAACGCAAAGAGAGAAGGAGAGAGAGAGAGGGTGACAATCAAGAAAAAGAAAGACACACACAAGAAAAAAAAAGGCCTTTGCATCTTCACATGCGCCACACAGCAACGTGAGTTCCGACCTAAAACATGATTGCGGATGCAAACACACACACACACACACACACACACACACACACGTACGTTCAGGTGGACTTGCACTGACTACTTCTTCACCTTCCCGGCCTGGAGGTCGAACGGCTCGAGGGCCAGGAGAGCGCAGAGAAAGGACGTGAGCTGCAGCGTGGCAACAGAGCCGCCTTCACCGCCCTCAGGGCCACAATGCAGCGGCGCAAGCGACGGTGTGTCAAGCGGTGAGACCCCAAACAAGATGCCGGCGGCCTCACAGCCGCCTCGACGGGGTTCACTGTGTTGCAGCACGATGAGGGAGCGCACAACAAATCGTGCCGCAACACCGCGGAGGAACTCCGAGAGAAGAAGTTTCAGCAAAACAACAACCGTCAGCGACAACGCAAACATTAGCGGCGCGCGGAGCAGCATGAGCGAGGCAAAGGGGTAGACGCTCCAGAGAAGTAGCGCCGCATACGGCACAGGAATAAATCCGGTGCGCCTAACGTGCTTTGGAAAGAAACCGTCGCTCGCCGACAAGAGTGCCTTGACGTTGTCGACGTGCAGCAGCGGGTCATCCGTGCAGCGGATATGAATGTTGGCGCCGAGCCGCCAAAGCACCGTTTCCGCCGCCATGTCGAGTATCGTGAGCTGCGAGTAGCTGCGGTAGACGCTGAGGGAGATGCCGTTAAACTTCGCCACGAAGAGGTGCTTCGTGAAGTCGACGAACACCTCCGCCAGAAACACCAGGAGCATGTCGGCGATGTCCAGCACGTGAAACCGCTCATGCATGTGCTGCAGCACCATAACGAGAACAAAGAGCACAAACTTCAGACGCTCCACGGCGTCGGCCGCCGTCACCTGCAGCAGCGACTCCCGGTTGTGCTTCTTGTACGCCACCCCCTTCACCTCGCTGAGGTTGGTGCCCACCATCAGCGCGAGCAGCAGGTGACCCTCCGCGTTCACCGCGACGTTCAGCGTGACGACGGACAGCAGCAGCGTCACCGCGTGCACCGCGACACACACCACCGAAAGGACGGCGCTGCCGACGGGGAGCCACAGGGAGTGCGCCAGCACGACGCCCGGCCCCCGCCGCGGCGGTTCTTTTTTACCCCAATTTTGCACGCACATCGTCAGCACCTCAATCACCTCCTGCGAGAGCGCCGAGAGCAGCCGGTCCGCGACGTCGAGGATGTTGAAGACCATCACAAGCTTGATGAAGGAGGTGCGCCGAACCACGTGGTAGAGGTAGGCGTACAGCTGCGTCGTGTAGAGCGAGAGGGCGTAGTATGTGAGGATTCCAACGGTGATTAGCGCCAGCGCCACAACGTCGCGGCGCTCGAGGCGCGAGAAGGCCACAATGCACTTGAGGGGGAGGAGCAGCAGGGAGAGGAGGTTCTCCGCCATGCCGAGCATCGTAAGGGCGAAGTAAAACTCGATCTCCGCCAACATCTCCGGCATCCGCACAAAGTGGTCCAGGTACTCGTTGAACCTCGCGCCCTTCGGCTGTTGCGAGGCGCCCTCCGCGCCGTGCGCCGACCGCTCGCGCTCGGTTGGCCCGAATAGCCGGCAAAAAAACCACTCCCTCATCCGAGGCCCGCCCTCCTGCGAGGAGGAAGCGGAAACGATCCCACAGCGAGCGAGCGAAAAAAAAAAAAGGAGGGGGAGGGGCAGAAAGGCAGAAAGCGAAGAAGAGGAATGAAGTGGCGCACAAAGCGAGAGCACAGAGGGCGAGGCGGGCTGCAGGGGTCTGCCCGGCACACAGCGGCGTGCGCAGTACATATATTCCAGCCTGCCAGCCAGCGAAGGGGAGGAGGAGGAGGAGGAGGAGGAATCAAGCAAACGTAAACGAAAGTAAAAAAAAAACAATAAACAATAAACAATAAAAAAAACAACAAACAAAAAAATATATTTAGTATCAATACGATACGGCAACGTGCGTCACCCAGTTATCTTCAGAGTGCCAACTGCTCCTGCAGTTTTGCCACCACGTGGGCAAACTCTCCGTCCCCCAGCTTTTGCCCCTTCTTCGCACTGCGGCGCTCCTTCTTGACCATGTCCTGCACCGACCTGCGGAGGCGTTCAACGAACGGAACAAGCTGAGAAAAGATATCCTCCGGCCTCTTCTTCGCATCAACTATCCCAAAGTACCGTAGAAAGTTTATTCTTGTGCTATCAAGACGGCTGTAGTGCTGCTTTAGCTCTTGTAACTCCCCCGTCACCCGCATTGTGAACTCCACAGCAAAGGGAATAAACGGGTCCTCCGCATCCGTGCCCAGCTCAACCAGTTTCTTCTTCACAGAGGTGCAGTGGTTCTGGAACATCTGCACCGCCTTCTCCGCCTCCTGCATGGCCATCTCCACGTCTCCCCAACTGATTTGCATCACACTTGCGGTTAATACGGGTTTCATCTCATCAATAAGGTGCAGTGCCTCCGGGTGACGCAACTTCACGGTGCCAACAAGGTACGTAAAGAGTGACGACTTCCCCTTGTTGTCCTTCGTCAACTCCAGTTTATCTAGGAGGTTTAGATTCACTGCACCGGCATTGCCTCTGCGTGCATCTCCGTAATTCATCATATTACCAAAACTTAGCAGCAGACCAAGATAGTACGGCAGGTGCTTACTGCTCAGGACAGCCGCCATACTGTCCTGCAGGCGATGCATTGGTTTCAATACCGCCTGACGACTCTCTTCCCATTCCATTGAAAAGAGCCACGCAGAGACGCGGCGCTTAAACTCCGGCATGGTAGTCATCATTGCCATGTACTTTTCCTGCGGCTCATACTCCTCTTCGGGTTTCTTGTTGGCGTTTTTGAGAAACTCCGCGCGCACCTCATTCGTCGGGGCCTGCGCCAGCATGGCAGTCAGCATCTCACGCGAAAGCACACTCGCGTCCAAGTCAAGCAAGGCACGCTGCACGTTGGGAATACTTGGAAGCTTATGAAGCACAATGGAAAGGTTGCGATGCAACTCCTCCCGCAAGAGAAGAACCTTCTGGGGCTTTGGCGGGGCGACAGGTTTGGCCTCCACCTCCTTCTGCGAGAAGAGCTGCTCAAACTCTGTGTAGTCAAAGCTGGTGTCGTACAGCGTGCCTGCGTTGAGCAGAGACCACACGGACTCCACGTTGTCGGGAATGGCAATTTTTTCCCAGTGCAGCGGTTTCATTCGCTTTGTCGGCGCGGGACCCTTGAAGAAGACTCGCGACGGCGCCACGGATGCTGTTGGTGCGGCAGGTCCAGAAGCAGCGGGTCTTCCACCAGGCGCCTTCTTTGCCCCCAGGAGCGGCGGCGGCGGCGGCGGCGGTGGCGCCCCTTTTCTCCCGCCTGCGGGTGGAGGCGGCGGTGGCGGCGGCGGCGCACTTTTTTTCCCTTCTGCAGGTGGAGTTTGTGGCGGCGGCGGCGGCGGCTGCGGCGGTGGTGGTGGTGGTGGTGGTGGTGGTGGTGCCTTCCCGCCGTTGGGCGCAATGGGCCGCTGCGCCGCACTGTTTTCAGCCGTTTCGTCGCCGTCGTCGTCTTCGGGCGGCGGGGCGTCGCTCTCGTCACTCGGCGGCGGCAGCATGTCGTCCTCGTCGTCCTCGTCGGGGGGCGCGGGGGGTTCGTCGGCGTCGGCGTTCGGCCGGGCACTGAACATCCGCGACAGCGCAGGGCGGATGTCGCTGGCGGTGACAAACTTCTCCAACAACGCCGTGCGTGCGGCGCCGATGTCGCGCTGCGCGGCGGCGACGTCGATGGGCTCCATCCTGCCGGACGCCATACGCTCGAGGTGCAACCCGCCGCCTGCGCGGAAGCGGCGCGCCGGGTGGTAGTTGGCGGAGGTGTGCTGCGTGAGGAGGCTCATGGCACGCACCGTCTCCTGCGCGCGCTCGAGCTCCTGCTTCAGCAAGCGCACTTTTGCCTGCTGCTGCTGGAAGACGTACAGGGCGTCCATGGCGGCGTCGCACTTGCGCTTTGCCTCCTCGTACTGCCGTCGGTACTTGCCCGCCTCCTCCCAGCTGCGCGGGATGGTGTAGGCGGAGAGGCGCTGGAAGCTGGCCAGCTGCTTCGCCACGTCGACGTCCTCAATCGCGGTCAGGCGCTTCAGCAGCGACACGATGCCGCACTCCTTCCAGCGGAAAACGAGCTTCTTCGCCTTCAGCTCGGACGCCTCCTTCTTCTTCTTGAGAAGAATGTTCATAAAGAGCAGCGTCTTGTGCGTCGCAAGGAGGTCGTCGCCGCTCAAGAGTGGGACAAGCGGGGCGTAGGGAAGCACCCCCACACCGATGCGCTTCTTTGCCGCCTGGTTGATCATCTTGTGGCCGCCCTCCACCATGCCGCAAATCACAATGAGGGTCTCGAGCGTGGGCTTCGCAATGTTCAGCGGCACCAGCCCGCCGTCGGGGGGCGGCACCAGCAGGCCGTAAATGCGCTCCACGAGCTCAGGGGTTTCGGCTATTTGCTCCACCGCGTTCACGTACACGAGGAGGTTGCGCAGGACGCTCAGCATCGCCGCCTGCAGGTTGCCACTCGCCGTCTTAATCTGGTGCAGGAGGATGTTCAGCCCATCCTCCTCAAGGAACTGCTCGCCAAACTCGGCGCTCTGCACGAGGGTGTTAAGCTCCAGCACCAGCCTGCGCTTCCGCTGCCCCTGGTTGTCCTCGTACAGCAGTATGTCGATAGCGTCCCGCACGGAGGCGCCGCCGCCGGCGGGTCCCCCGACGGGAGAGAGAGGGGCGGCGCTCGTGGCGGCCATTGCACTGGCTACACGTCAACTTGCCGCACTGCAAGCCGTCAGAAGCGGGAACACACATACAGAAAAAGAAAAGGAAAAAAAAAAGAAGAGCTGGTCACGGCAAAACAACAAAACACCCATAGACGTAGGCGCATGCACGCACACGTACTTGCTCGCATTGGTGAAGGGGCACCGTTTCTCTCGCCACCCACCCGCGCGCGCACGGCATCCAACCACGTGCACCCCCCGCTCCCCGCAAGCGGACGAAAAGGAAGGATGACATGAACCCGGGTTTCGCACACCTTCGCCCCTTCCTGCGGCACCACGGCGGGGAGTCTCACACCGGGAGTTCAATCCGCTTCGAGAGTTCCGGGGCCGCCGAGGCGGTCTCCCGCAGCCGCGAGTTGAGCGCCGCCAGGGCGATGGAGCGGCGCCGTTCCGCGTCCTCCTCCGTGGAGCCCGGCAGCAGCGGAAGGTTGGCGGCGCCGCGCAGCACCGGGACCGACACCGCGGCCTCCATCTCGGCTGGCTTTTGGCCGGCCTCGCCGCCGCGCCGCCGGCTGACGCCGAGGCACGAGGACAGTCTTGCGGCGATGGGGTGAAGCAGCACGCCAAACGCCACCGGCGCCTCCACGCGGAACACTGACTGGAGCCTCCAGGAGACGCAGAGCGCCAGGAATGCGGGTACAAAGACGCTGCCTGGGAAGATTCGCCCACTATCTACATCCTCCTCAGTTACGCTGTGACGGCCACGAAACAGCAGGTCAACGGCCAGCGCAAGGGCGAGCAGCATCGTGGGCAGGTGCCGCCGCTGCAGCTGCGAGGGCAACACGCCTGGTAGGGCACTCGTCACCGGTGAGGCCGCAACCCAAGGGACGAGCAGTGCCGCAGCCGGAGACCACACGCCGCAGAAGCACTGCAGGAACCATGAAAACCCCACGAGTTGCATCAGTGCGCTCGAGACAAGCAGCAGGCCCGCGGTTCCAACTCCTGTCACCATAATCAGCTGTAGAAACGCGACGGTGCCCAGGGCGGCCTCCACCGCCGCACCAACACTGAGCATGTAGGCGACGCCAAGCGCGCAGAGGATAACATTGGACTCCACGAAGATGTAGCTGAAAATATTCCACGGGTAGCTGTGCACGGAGAAGGTGTACGCCGGAATGAGGCCAAAGACGCGCGGGACGCTCGTCGACCACTGGCTGAGCGCAGCGGTCACGCAGAGAGAGACGGCGATAGCCCTGCAGACGGCGCCACCAGCCGGCATGCTCACGCTCCTTACAGAAGCGGCGGAGATTCACAAAAGAGGAGGAAACAGGAAAGAGAAATAAAATTCGCGTTGAAAAAGAAAAGAAAAAGAAAAAGAAAAAACAAAGGAGGAACAAAAACAAGAGCAACAGCGACAACGAAAATGTCCATGTGTGTGCTTTTGCGGATTTGGGTCGGAGAGGCAAAGAGAACAATTGCGAACCCGCCTGGGAGGCAAAGGAGCACCCACTCAAACTACAACAAGAAAAACGACAAAAACCCAATAATCCCCACGTGGACGAACGGCCACCAAGTCAAAATACATTTTGCGTGCCTGCGTGCGCGTTAGCGCGCCTAATACGTTCCATTCCCCAGCACCGCGACGGAGGAGGCGGAGAAGATGCCCCCGTTTCCGTAAACAATGGCCCGCTTCGGGGGCGGCCAGATTTGACGGCTGCCGGCGGTGCAGGCCATTTGCGCGATGGCCTCAGTGACGTTGTACATCGCGGGAACCTCCCACGGGGCCCCAAAGCACTGCAGCCCCCCGTGCGTGTTGATGCGAAAAGTGGCGGCGCTGACGACGCCAGGGGTTTTCAGCATTTCATTGTACGCGGCCTCCACGAACTCCCCGCCCTGCCCAATCGGGCAGAGGCCCACCGCCTCAATCGCGCGTATCAGACAAATGGGAAAGCAGTCGTAGAGGCCAAAAAAATCAATGTCCTTCAGGCCCAACTGGGCGGTGCCAAGGGCCAGTTTGACTGCCCGCTCGCAGGAGAAGAGCTCCGGAGTGATGTCGTCGAGGGCGGGGGGAAAGAGCGGGCCGGAGGCCTCGCCGACGCTCACGACGACCGGCTTTGACCGGTCCAACTTGTGCCGTGCGAAGTAGCGGGCGTAGTGCAGCTCGCTGGAGAGGATGAGAGCCACGGCGCCGTCAGCACGCCGCGCACATTCCAGCAGGTTGGTGACGGGGGCAACCTGGCGGGAGCGCAGCACTTCATCCAGGGTGTAGGGCGCACGGCACATGGCGTCCGGGTGGCGCGCCGCCATGCAGCTCATCAACACCGGCACCATCGCGAGTTGCTCCCGCTTGAGGCCGTAGCGCCGCATGTACCACTGGGCGTACCGATCGTACCCACGCGGTATGCAGGGCTTCGCGAGGTCGCCGCCCGCCACACTCGCATTCGAGCGCTCAGCAAATGTGCTGCTGCAGAGGCTTAACACGGCGTCTGACGCAACGATGGCGACGTTGCGTGCCCAGCCATTTCTAATGAAGTTGGTGGCCGTGCCCAGCGCCGTGATGGGGCCGGCGCCGCCCGTGTCAATGGTGCGCAGAATCAGCTCCTTGTTCGCCCGCACAAGCCCGGAGACGGTGGCGAGGTGGTGAGCCTGCATAAACTGGGGAGAGGCCAGCGACGGGATCGCCACGAGGCCGTCCAGCTCACGCATCTCCAGGTTGGCGTCGGCGAGCGCCGCGCGGAGGGCCTCAACGGCGAGCGCAGAGGTGGATTTCCCGAGCCGTCCGACGGGGGTGCGGCCGACGCCAACGATGCGGACGACCTGCAACGACATGGAGAGGCGGTCTGCAAATATATATATATATAAGAATGAATAAGACACGCAAGAAACGCCTTTCCACTGAGCCTTTCCGCAGCCCACACAGAGAAGCAGGGAAAGGGCGAGGGGAGAAAGCAGTGAGCGCAGGGGACGAGCAGACAAGAGAGACGCCACGCGCGCTGACGAACGCACGGCGGCAGCACCCCTCCCCCCCCCCCCCCCCCCAGCGCGGTTTTACTTGCAGTTCACTTCGTTGGCCCGCCGCGCCCGGCGGGGGGAAGCGGGGGCGTGGGCGAATGTTTTTTTGTTTTCAGTCCTTGCAGAGAAGCAAACAGAAGCCTCCACGAGGATGGCACAGAACGAGGCAACAGCGTTTCCCTCAGGGGCCCAGCGTCGGAACAGCAGCAACAGCCGTCGGAGAGCATTCGCCTTCGCAGCAACAACAAAAAAAAACAAACACACACAATGGCCTCCGTCCCCACTACCCCTTTTAGTTGCCGCTGGCCGCCGCGACCGGCGGCGGCGGCGGCGGCGGAAGAGAAGGGGGCGTGCATGAAAGTCCTCCCTGGGGAGCTCCCGTCAACCCGCAGCCGCGTGAGCTACGCGATCCAGCCGCTTGCCGCAACAAACCACCCCGCCGCATCCTCCGCGCCCTCCTTTGCGAGCGAAATGTACGACACCAGCGCCTGGCCAGCGGTCAGGGCGCGCACAGGCTCCTCAAAGCGGACCGTTGCGCGGGCCACGCGAACGCGGTCCTCCGACTCCTCCGCATCGCCCCACGCAAAACAAAGTTCCGCCGGGCGCAAAGGCTCCTGGTGCCGTGCGCAGCAGCGACACCGCAGCCGCACCTCACCAGCTGCTTGCTGGGCAAGCCACCGTGGGTGCAGCGGCAGCGCGACGTCGCGAAGCTGCGCCACCGTCGCGTAGAGCAGCGGATGGTCCCAGCGGTCCACCAGCCACACCGTGCGCAACTGCCGCGCGTACCCCCAATCATCGTGGCAGCTGCTTTCGTCATTTGCGGCTCCACTGGGGGAAAATAGATCCTTTCGCTGCACATAGTACCGCGCCAGTTTCCCGCCCTCGCCGCTTCCCCGGACCAGCTGTCCCAGCGTCAGGCTGTACGCGGGAAGCAGCGGCCCGCCCCCCTCTCCCCGCAGCGCCAACTCCGATGCCTCCACGACGGCGCCGGTTTCGGCATTCATGAATGTCGTCCGTCTGCCGGCGGCCGTGAGTCGCTGCAGGGCGGCGCTGTCTGGGGCGATGTATTCCCCCAGGAAGGAGCGGAATCCACTGACGCAGCTGCCGGCACGCCTGCCATCGTCTTTTCCAATTTTTTTGTAGTGCTCACCCACGAAACACAGCCCTGTGCTCGTCTTTTTTGCGCTCACCCGCTTCATGCCAAAGTGGTCTGCCACTGCCCGCACCTCCGCCTTCCGCGCAAAGACATGCCCCAATGGGAAGATTGCCCTCAGCGCCTGTTTTGTTGAAAGGCGTGAGAGAAACACCGTCTGGTCATTGAGGTCATTTCCCGCAGAGAACGGCCTGGCGATCACCCGCGCCTCTGCGGCTGCCCCACTGCTGCCACACAAGCGGGGAGCGGCGACGGTGCGGGCGTAGTGGCCCGTTGCAAGATAATCCGCCCTTCCTGCGGCGAGTAGGGCGTCAAGGAGTGCCTGAAACTTCACTTCCTCGTTGCACAAGACATCCACATTGAGCGTCTCCCCACGCGCGTAGGCGTGCAGCATGGGCTGGAAGCACCTCTCCACGTAACAGGCGCTATAGTTGTGCAGCGGCAACATCTCCCCCTGACGAAGAAGGCCTAACAGGCGAGCAACATCCGTCGCGTCGTGGTAGTCCTGCTGCGCCGCCTCACACCAGCGTCGGCCAGCGCCGTCGCCTTCTGAAGCGTCCTCCCAGTTTCTCATAAAGAGCGGGAAGTAGCGGACTGCCGCTGCAGGGTTGTGAGCAGTCCCTGCTGTTGCGGCGGCACAGGCGACAACCTCAGACCACGGCCGCCGCTGCTCGAGCGCCCCAACCACCTCGCGCAGCGCCAGGGGACGCCTCGTCCTCCACAGCGCCTCCACATCAGCCCAACGCGGCACGCACCGGCGCAGGAACAGCGCCGCAACCGCACTGTCGACACCGCCCGAGAGGGCGACTGCCACCCGCACGGATGCGATGGACATTTGCGATTGCTCCTTGCGTCTGCTTACGCCTTCCCACGCAGTCACAGCAGAACGTCTGTTGCACGCCGCAGCAGACGATCAGCATCTCGCAGACGACAAGAAGAAAAGGCAGCAGCAGCAGAAGCAGCCGACATCGTTGACCGCACACCAGAAAGGGACAAGGGGCAAAAACCGGGTAATAGACATCCGGTGAGAGCGAGCAGCTGCAGTCAAGCTTCAGAGAACACTCAGGGCACACGCACACACGCACAATGAAAAGACACGCCACCACCGTCCCTTTTTTGATTTCCATGACTGAGGGCATAAAAGGAGGTGGGGGGAGAAGGAAAAAGGAAAAGGAAAAAAAGGAACGAACAGTGGAGACGGGTCAAGTAGCTATATGTAAACTTCCTTTTCGTTTTCTCTTCCTTCCTCACTTATCCATTAATTATGATTTAACGGCCACTTTGCTGCCTCACCCTTCTTCTCTGCATATATTTTTATGTGGGGGCTCTTGCAAAGTCTCGGACGGAAGCGGCTCCGCTAGTTTTTCCTTGTCATGCTCATATACCGAAATATACCACACCAAGTAGTCGCGGACCGCCACGATGACTGCCCCAGCCGTGATCGCCAAGAGCCGCACGAGGCCTTGAAACACCTCGGGACTCCCCGCGACTGCCTGCAGCTGATCGCGCTGCGTGCTCGTCAGCACAGACGTCGTGGCATTGGTCTGTTGCAGGATGGTCTTCACCCAGTGTGCCACCACGGAGGAGAGCTCCTGGTACATCCCCACGTTGCAGCTGCGTATGTGCTGCTGCTCCTGCGGGCTAAGACGCTGCATCGCCGCCGTTTCTGCGGCGCCCTCCACCATCTTTTGCGCCTCGCGAACGCTGAGGGCGGAGGTCTGCACCGTCGCCGTGATGCGCAGAACCTCCCCGAAGACGTCGCGGAGTTCTGGGACGTCAATGCAGAGCGCGAGCGCAAGAAAGGCGTTCAGTCCTCCCCGGATGGCGGCATGGGGAAGCAGGGCGTTGCTTTTGGAGATGGACGGTGCATCGCGCCCTTTTTGGGTTGCCCGCATCACAAACTGCTCCATCTCCGCCACGTTGTTCACGCGCCAGAGGACGGCGAAGAAAACACCCACGGCCTCCTGCACCAACTCCTTCAGCAGCCTGTGGTCCGCAGGCGGGGGCGTCCACACCCCCGACCCAGGCTGCTGCTTCTCCAGCGTTTCTGCGTCACCTTCTTGCTGCTGCTGCTGCTGCTGCGGAGAGTGCCGTGTCGGGGTGCCGTTCTCCGGCCCCAAGGCGGCGGGAGGGAGAGCGGCCAGGACCTTTGGCAGCGGCGAGAGCAGCTGCGCCATCAGTGCGCAGTACTCCACCAGCTGCTCATCCGTCGCCACCTCCCCCAGTGGGGAGAACCAGCTGCTGCGCATCAATTGGGTGAGTTCCTCGGGCTCCACGCGGGCGTCCACCCGCTCCGTGACACCAAGCGTCGCAATTTGTCGGCTCCCTGTCACCTCATACGCTTCTGCGGTCCACAGTGCCTGAACGGCCGCCGCGGCCGCCCGCATGTACGCCGCAAGAGCGGCCGACTTCTCCTCCTGCACCCACTGGCGCCCGGCGTGGTCGGCGTCGTCAGGGACTATGAACCGCGCTGGAATACGCAGCGCAAACAGAAGCAGACTGACACACTCAGCGACGAGGCGGCTGCTGCCGTTGCAGGACTCCCTCCCATCGACGCTTTGGCGCGTGGCACAGAGCGTGGCGGCGTGCATGAGGAAGTGCACGGCGGTGGTACGAATCTGGAAGGAGGAGCGCGGCGAGACTACTAGGGGAACCAGGCAGTGCTTCAGCACGATTTCCGCCAGGGCATCCACGTGCCCGAGTGGCGCCTCCGAGAGCATCTCCTGCGACATGAAGTTTAGCGCAAGGGAAAGGGTGGCACGGAAGGCGGTGGGCGAACACCTGCGCATGGCGATGGCCGTATCGAGGTCAAAGAGGGTGTGGCTCACGCAAATTGGGTCCATCATGGACGGCGTGTACTCCGGCGTCGCGTGGCCCAAGGCGGCCTCCAGCACGGCGTCGGAAAGGTGCACGGCGAGGTGCAGCAGCTGGGAGGGCTCCAGCTGCACCACCAGCGCACGCAGGGCAGTGATCACGTCTATTCGCGTCTGTTGCGCATGGCAGCAGAGAAGCAGACTCATGCGCTCCAGCGAGTGGAGGACGAGCACGTCCGGCCTCCGCTGCAAGCTTTCCACAAGGCGCTGCAGAAGAAGTGCGCTGGGCTCCGCGAGAGAATCAAACTCCGCCACGTGAGCTGCAGCAGCGCAGGGCGGCAGCTCTAGTTCCGAAGCAGTCGCCCCATCCCGATTCAGCGCGGTGGTGCAAATGGTAGAAAACTGTGCCAAACACGACTGCGCGCTGTCAACGTCGCTGCACATGCCTCCGACGTACGACACGTTCAGCAGAAGCATGAGCAGAATATTGCGGACACTCTCCCGCAGCTGGAGGTCGCCCCTCGTGCCTCCAGTTCCACAGCCGAGAACGACAAGCTTGCGAAGAATGTGCACGGCGAGGCTACACGTCTCTGTTCCCACACTGTCCTTGTCAGACAGGGCGCGCGCGACGGGCTGCAGCAACCGCAGCCATATCCGTGCCATGAGGTAAAGCGTGTGGGCGGGAAACCCCATCGATCTCCCCCTGGCTGAGCCCACCTTGTGCAGCGTGCGAGCGATGAGCTCCTTCACACCCTGCAACACGTGCATGCGCACCTCCGCCGAGGCCCCGCACCGTTCATAGCAGCTCTCAAAAAAGGAAAAACAGTTGGTGACTTCAGAGTGCAAGCCAACCCTCTCCGACCGCGCCTCACAGATGCATGAGCTCCAGACGGTGTTGAGAACATCAACGACAAACTCAACCACAAGGCGCATGTACTCGTCGCCCTTTCCACGCCGCGCCTCCACGACATCGACGAGCGTAGGAGCCACGATGCCGCTAAAGTCACGCACATTGATGAAGTTCGTCACGACCTCCCCTGGCTCCTGTTCGTGCGAGATGAGCGAGTACCCGAGGAAGCGCCGCAGCACGTAAAATGCAGCGGAGAGCGTCTTATCATCGGCGCTAGTGTCCTGCAGAACTGTGGGGGCGCCCTGCAGCACCTCTTGCACAGCCCTGGTAAAGGCAACAGGCGCAACTGAAGATGTCCCCGCGCGGCCACCCTCGCAGGATTCACGCGTGAACTCTTCCACGCGGCCAAACACCGTTTCCGCCTCAACAACCAGCGTCTGCTGCCGGTTTCGTATATCCATCAACAACTCCACCACGGGCACCCAACACGTCGCGGAGAAAGAGACGCTATGGGGCGAGGCTGCGACTTCAAGGACACTCCTGCGGCACACATCACGCATAGGCCCATATGAAGCCATGCGCAGCAGCGCCAGCTGCGACACGCCACACTCCGTCTGCAGGCCAAAGGCGGCAGCCACGAGGAAACTGCTCCGGAGGCCCATCACGCAGAGCATCAAGGCCTCCTCTGGCACTTTGGCTCCATGCACAGCAACGCCAAAGACGGCGCAGAGTGAGGGCCATGCGCTGAGAAACAAATCTTGCGCGACGCAGCACCAACACGTCGATGTCGTCTCCTCCAAGTTGGTGTCGCTACTACTGTGGCGGTAGACCAACTCACGGGTCTCGCTGAGAAGGCGCTGCCGCACGACGCCAAACGCCAATTCGCGGCGCTCTTCAAGAGAAAAAAAGATGGAGTCCATTTTACCCGGAAACGGCACCGCTGCGTACCGCACCCCGCTACTCATTCCTGCCGACCAGAACCCCTTCATGCTGGAGAGCGAGTGCAGGTGCACCTCATGAAAGATGTTCTTTATGAAATGCTCCGGAAAATCCTTCCCCTCGTTGCACCCCCGCAGTTGGGCGTAGAAGCTGGAATCTGTCATTTTCGCGGACGCGACGTGCGGATTGTGCAGGTTTGTGTTTAGCATAATTACAGCAACGCCCGCAATAAAGCACGCGTTTTCGGATTCAAACGGAAATGTCTCGGCATCCACACCCTCAACTGAGTTCAGCTTAAAGTACGCGCTGCAGAAAAACTCAAGCAGCCGTTCAATGCGCTGTCCCTCCTTCGGCAGCTGCAGCAGGTTGAATAGCTTCCGCATTGCCCCCACGAGGCTTCTACCGGCAACCGGCAAGGACTCCATAAAGACCCGACACACCTGCAACGGAAGCACCGCCGGGGATGAGAGAAACTCCGCAACCGACTCCGGATTTAGCGAGGGCGTCTCCATCAGAAATTGCGCTATGCGATGTACTTTTTCGTCCGTCGCGGCGGAGGCCGGTGGTGGGATGTGCTGATGCGCCCAATTCTTCTCAGCCATGTTCTTGTACCCGACTGGGTGCATTTCGTCATCGGCGACGTCGAACAACTTTTTTATCCCCTTCACGGGAGAGCTGTTGAAGACGTCAACCGCCCGCTGCTCCTCCAGCTTCTTGTCGCGGTTTGGCAGTCTCGCGTAGACCCTGCCGCCCGCGGCACCACCGTCCTGCGGGATGTGCGTCGAGAGCAGTTCCACCGCCAGCGAAAGCCCTTGGAGGGCGATAAATGGAAGGCTCTTCCGCGGCGCGGCTGGTTCCTGGCCGCCGCTTCTCGTGTCCTTTTCGTCGGTGAAGTCCTCTGGGGCGGCGCAGCGCACCGCCTTCGAAAGCGTCGCAAAGGCCTGCTGTACAACATTCAGTTGGTGCCAGCGGACGTTCAGGTCAAAGCGCTGGTAAAGGCGCAGCAGCAGCGATGGCCGCCCGGCGTCGCCCGCGGGGGCGAAGAAGGTGCTGATGACGTGTCGAAGGAGCAGCCGACGCATCCCGTGCGGGGTGCTGTCCGACTCCAGCAGCCCAAAGACCCCGCTTGTGTACACAAACCCCACCTCCGAGCCAAGGCACTCGGGGCACCCCGCCGTGATCCGCTGCAGCGTCTCGAGGCCGGCCTCCAACACCGCCGGCTCCAGCGCCACGAGGCAATTCAGGATGCCTTCCGCTATGCGCTTCCTCCAGGCAGAGCACCCAAGCACGTGCCGAAACTCCTCCATGTCTGCGTCCATCAAACCCTTCACAGTGTCGTTCAGGACCCGCACGGCCACAAGTTGCCCTTCATTCTGGTCCCCGCAATGCTCCGCGACGCACGCAGTGAACTCGGGCGAAAATGCCACGGGAAACACCGCGTCCACGACGCAGCAGGCTGCGTGGTAAGAAAGTGGGTGCGTGATTTCCGCACCGTCACAGTCCGGAAACGGCTCCGACCGCAGGAGGCCGGTGTAAAGGGAGCGTTCCGGGGCGACCTCCGGCACCCGTTCCCTCCCAGCGTTGTCCCCCGATGACGGCTGCCGCCTCCGTTGCTTCAACAACGACGTAGGTGTCACCCACTGCGCCAAAGCAAAGACGTTTGTGCACACGTCGCTCTTGAGGCCCCGTTCCTCCGGCGAGGACACGGCCTCCTTCACCGCGGCAACCGACAACAGGTATCGCACACTGGGACGGACAAGACTCATGAGGTGCTCGATGCTGGCGAGCAAAGAGGGCCCCAGGCGAAGCCATAGTTCATGTGCCCGCCGCTGAGCTCCTTGCTGAATCTTTGCCGCGTCCAGAGGCGGCGCATCGGGGTCCCTGTCATCGGCCCCCAGCGCGCGCAGATGACGCAGCTCCCCGCGCAGGGACCGATACACGAAGAGGGTAACACACTGACGGAGCTGCTTTAGAACATCCACGCAAACCTGCGCCGCAAACCGCATCGAAAGGGCGTCCGTGGGAGCCGTCAACAGCTCAAGGCACTTCATCACCGCGTTGGTAGCAATCCGAATGTCACGCGAAAGATGTATAAAAAATGACGCAGATGGAAGTCCGTTATCCTCCCCGTTTGACTTTGGAGTCAATTCCACTGCCTCCTGCGTTTCGCCATAGACTTGACGCAGGACCTGTTGAAGGGCACAAGTAATGATAGAAAAGCAGCGAACCATGACGAGACGTGCTGCGTTACGTCCTATGCTGCGCAGCTTCACGATTTCCTGCAGACCGCTAGAGAAGAGCATGCCAAGAAACTCCGCGAAATCCTCTAGGTTTCGCGACTCAAAATCGCTGGACAACGCAAACGCGCTGCTTCCCGAGCCGCGAAGCACCATGTTGCTCCCGCTGCTCCCCATGTCCACCGTGAAGGAGGAGAGCGCATCCCCACGAGGCGATCGAGTGGTCGCAACTGCCGTGCCCGACGTCGACGCGGAAGCCGCCCGCGGCAGAGTGACCGGGCTTCTGCCGCTGCTACTGTTTCTGCTCCCGCCGTCGATCACCCCGTCCACGTCCAGCGAGTTTGACGGAGGCGGGTCTTGTTCGTGCGATGGTGCGGCGGAGGCGTCGAGGGCGGGGCTGCAAATGGAAGGGCGCGGCGCCCCCACCTCGCCCACCTCACGCACCCACGCCTCCAGGCCCAGCTGCAGGTCCTGCTGCCTGCCCTTCTGGTTCCCCTTCACAATGTTTTTGGCCTGCGTGAGCAGCGACCGCAGCTGCACCAAAAACGCGGCGCGGTTTTCCAGATCCGCCGCCAGCTTCGGCGAGACACGCTGCATGACCAAAGTTCCTCGCGCCTTTTTTGAAGGAATGCAAAGCAAAGAGAATAACAATCAAACAAAAAAAAACGGGACTGAAACGAGAGGCAAAATGAGACTCCGTGAATGTTTGTGGGATGAGTTATCCACCGCCTGGCGCCGATCCTGGCAAAGGCGCAGAAAGAGAAGACAGGCGGCAAGCGCACGAGCGAGGGAGAGGGAAAGAGAGCCACAAAGAGCCACAGAGAGACACAGACAAGGCAATAAGACATGCAACAGTGAGGGAGGGGGCGCAACTACTGGGAAAACACTTCGCCAGCGCACTCCAGAAAGCGCGCGGGGAGGTGCTTCTTCTCGCGGGGGTCACTGCGGTGGCCGTGGTGGTAGCCGAGCTTCTGCCTCATCACGGACATAAACTCCTCGAACTCCAGCACTCCATCCGCATTGCGGTCAAAGAGGGCCATGACAAGGTCCAACTCCACATCGGCGAAGGGGGTCAACCCCGCGGCCTTTACTGCACGGTTGAAGTCGCTTTTCCTCAGCGGGAGTCCGGAGGAAGCGAACAGCTCCACTGCCTCTGCTATCCTGTCGGCGTGCTGCATGATGCGATGAAACCCGATCCACAGTTCAAGCGTGATGGTCTCGCCGCTGCCCCGCAGCTTTCGTATGTTGTCCACAATGTGGAACGGAGGGTGACTCCCAATCATGTGGCTTGCGATGAGTTTGCCGAATTGCTCGGCTGTGATGCGATCGTTGTGGTCCGTGTCGAACTGACGGAACTCGGCGGTCCACACCTCCACGTTGATGGCATCGAGTGTCGCCGCAACCTCCTTAAAGGAGCAGCGGCGGTGCCCATCCTCGCCGAAGAGGCGGCGCACAATACTGTTCCTTCGGCCGCGCGTCAACAGCTGCGCCTCCTTCCCGCCGCAGCCCAACCCCCGCAACACCCCCGCAAACTCGTCCAGGCTCAAACTCCCCACGCGGTCCTCGTCCAGCACGGAGAAGAGCACCTGTATGTCTTCCGTTTTGGCCGTTAGCAGCACCATGAGGAAGGAGAACTCACTCAGGCTGAGGTACGCGTTGCCGTCGGCGTCCAGCTCGGTAAAGAGCTTCGCCAGGCTCTGCACCACGGCCGGGTCCGGGGGGTCGTTGTCGCTTGACGCCAGCAGGGCACGCACAAAGTCCTCCACCGTCATGTACTTTGCGCCGCCCTCCCGCTTGCGGTGACTCGCGTAGTGCTTGAAGCGGGTGGCGGTGTCGCGCAGGTAGTACGGGACGAGGTAGTCGGGCGTGTCGAGCGGGTGGCAGAGCGCCACGGAGGCGGCCGCGGCGGCAGCAGCAAACCACGCAGCGGAGAAGGTCAAAATGGACCTCGTCGCCGCGAGGCCGCACCGCCGCCACCGCCACCGCCACCGCCACTGCCCACCGCCGCCACCGTAACGCCGCGGGCACCGTAGCGGGTTGAGGAACCGCAACGCCCAAGAACGCGGGGAGGTCATGTGGCGCCGCGCCGCGCGGGATTCCTGACGCCAAACGCAACAGCAGCACCGCGAAAGAGAAGCAAAGAACAACAACAAAAACGACAAAAGAAAAAAAAAAGCAGGATATTGATGCATAAATGCATAGAAACGCACTCTTCCGGCCCAGCGCATCAACAGTCCGCCCACCCTCAACTTCACGACGACGAACATGTGCGGAACTCAGTCAATACAAGTTACTTCCGCTCATCCGTTACTTTCCCTTCTCCTTCCTCCTTTTCCCTTTTCCCCTCTCTTCGCTGCAACTACTGCTCCTGAACGGGCTCCTCTGGGCACAGCACACTAACGACCGCCGACGCATCTCCGCTGACATCAAAGAATTGCGCCGCATTTATGACGTCTTTGGGCTCAACGCTCAACAAAGCGTCACGCATCGCCTGCTTCTGCGTCGGATGGACGTCGTGTAGGAAGTACGATTCACCGTAGCTGTCGGCAGCATACGGGGCATCAATGCTGGCAAATATGCGGAGCTTCGCCTCATCAACCCTCGCCTGCGTAACGTTGCTTGCGCTTCCAAGCCAACCCGCAACCTCCTGGAAGACACAGACGGTTTGCTCCGGCGCCGGATCGCGGTAGCTGGACATGGTGATGCCACCCACCTCCCCTTTAAGGGTGGCGTCCGCGCTTGAGCCGTAGGCCCCACCCTCCTCGCGAATACGGCGGTGCAGGTACTCATTCCCGAGCAATTGACACGCCACCCGTAACGGCGCCTGCTGCGGATGGTTCCAGTCCAACTCGTTTGCGATGGCAAAGCCAACGTAGGAGGTGTCGATGGGAAGCATCTTGCGGATCTGCGGGACCCCAGTGGGTCGCCCCAGCGCTGGAAGGGAGAGACGCGTTGAGACCGGCGCACCCGCAGACACTGGGTGGAAATTCCGCAGGAAGGCTGCCAACATCGCCTCCACCTCACTCCGGTGCTCCTCTTCACATGTTGCCCAAAGTGTACCGTGGCACATGTTTGACGCCAAAGATTGGGCAAAGGCCTCATGAGAGCTTAAAATGTTTACAATGACGTTACGCACCGCCGCCTCATCGCCATTTTGAATACTCTCAAGCAAGAGAGAGGCATGCGTCGACTGCGTGAGACCGGACCATTTCTCCTTCACAGCCCCACAGCGTGTCAAGCGTGAGACTGCCAGGGTTGTGGCAACGCGATTACCGTAGTGCTGCAGACGGCGAATAACGCTAGAGCAGCGTGCTTTGGTCAGAGACAAGACGCGACCACGCACGGCGTCATCCTCAGAGGAGGTGGCTGATTCGAGGAGTATCAGTTTGAGGAGCTCCAAGGCCTCCTGCAGCTTCTCCTTCGTGGTGTAGAAGCCAAAGTTGGTACCAAGGACATACTCAGACTTCTGTCGATAGGATTGGTTAAGTGCCGGGGAAAAGGCAAAACCGCCGCACACAAGTTCTGTGGCAATGGAGAGTTCCTTGAAGGAATATCCGCCCGCCCCCAGGTTCCCAAGCAGGGAGTGCCACAGGGGAAGGTCCACCAGGCCGTCAGCGGCGCCGCCGCCCTGGATTGCCGAGACCAACGACGAGCCAAAAGGCACGAGACCATGCACATACACCAATCCGTTTGTCGGATTTGAGATGGTATAAAGCGAGGCGTGGACACCGGACTTTGCCTGCTGCGGGGTGGGCTCCAGAAAGGATTGACGTGGGATATCTCTCACAGTGAGACTAGGGAGAAGGTCACCGTTTTGTGGGGCACGAACCCGCTCAAGCCAACTTGCTGTTTCCGCCTCAATCTCCCCCTTGCGAGCTTCCGTGACACCCTCGTTTAGCTTCTCCTCCATGCCATTGAGTGTGTCACGGAGGGAGTCCAGGAACTCCTTCTTCGCCGAGACCGACACGAGTGCCGAGTGGGGATTGTGAAGGAGATTCTTGGAGATGCGTGGGAGAAGCGGCGCCACTTGTTTCTCCGCCAGCCGCCGCAGGTGTGGCAGCCAATCAATGAAGTCAAGAGGGTTGTTCGCGGCACGACACAGACCCATCGAGCAAAGGCCTGTGCAAAGACTCACGCCATAGTCGGCCGCGCGGTGTCGCTGCTGCAGCTCCTCTTGAAAAATAACGGACTGCACTCGACGCTGGTCAAAGCCCTCCTTCTCCACTTTTTGCAGGGTCGAAACAACAGCGTTTAATACCTCCTCCTCTGCGTTCGGTCGGGCCTCATCCACGCCCTCCACACCGTAAGAAACAAACGGTGAGGAGAGATAAAATGAGTAGCCTCGCATCGGTGCGTAGCTACTGCCAATCTGCGACTCCACAAGCGCCTGATAGAGCGGGGAGCTGGGGCCACTGGAGAGCAACGAGTCCAGCACACTCAAATCCACCATGTCCTCCAGTTGGTTATCCTCCTGCTGTACCCCAAAGGAAACGGAAATGCGCTTCTGACGCTGGGGGTTTCCCATGGGGTTTAACGGACCCTGCAAGGAAACCCGTTGCATCTGGCGGAAGCGGCGCTCCGGAACCAGGGTGGGGACCGTAACGACCTCGCCTTTCGAGAAGGACGAGAAGTAGCCGTCGAGGATCGCCATCCAAGGTTCTGGGTGCTGCGCGCCGTAGGTGAAGGTGACGCTGTTGCTCGGGTGGTAGTGTCTCCTGTGAAAGGCCACAAGTTCCTCGTGGGTGAGCTTCAGCACCTCCGGTGGGTACCCGCCGGAGATGTGCTCGTAGTGGGTCCCTGGAAGCATAAGCCGCATGAGTGCATGTGCGTAGTGCTGCGACGGCTCCGAGACCACTCCCCGCATCTCGTTAAACACAACCCCGTTGTGCACCAGCCGCCGCTCCGCCCCAAGTTCCACGCGGTGACCCTCCTGCTTAAAGTCCTCCGCACGCAGGAGCGGGTGCAGGACGGCGTCAAGGTAAACGTTCAGCAGGTTGCAGAAGTCCTGCTGGTTGGTCGTGGCAAACGGATAGAGGGTGTAGTCGGCACCCGTCATGGCATTCATAAATGTGCTCAACGAGCGGCGCATCATCATGAAAAAGGGATCCCGCACCGGATACTTTTTACTGCCGCATAGCACTGTGTGCTCCAACACGTGTGACGTCCCCTTGTCGTTCTCGGCTGGAGTGCGAAACCCAATGCAAAAGGTGCAGTTCCTATCATCCGTGTCGATATGATAATACACCGCCCCAGTCTTCTCGTGCCGCCATTCGTAGGCAACCAGATTGAGTTCGTCAATACGACGCGTGTCCTTGTGTGTGAAGCCGTGCGTATTTGCCTGGCTGAGCAACGGCCTTTTTGCGCCCGCCACAGGCGCAGCCGCGGCCGTCGCCGCACAACACCGTAGGATGCTGCGGCGAAGCATTCGTCTTCCCCCTCACTATTTTTATTTGCCTGGCTGCTCCTTCGCGCGATGCAAGATCTACCACGGCGAGAGGGGGGAGGAGAGGGGGAGCGGAAAGGAACGGAGGAGACGCGCCGGGGAGTATTTAGCGCTGCCACGCGCATCGGCAGCAAAAGACCTCACAACAGACCTCAACGCAGCGGGGTGCGGCGGCAACGACGGCCAGCGGCGTCGCAGAGGCGGGAAGGAACTGAAAGGAAAACAACAACAGCAACAACACACGCGACAATGAGACTTTTTCTCCTTTGAAACAAACAAAAATAATAACAGATTTCACTCCTGCACTTTACGCTCCTCCTGCGCCCCCGCACACACGTAGCTTGCTTGATTGACAGGCAGACAGTTCCTTTACTTCCTTCCCACTCCCCCACACTGTCATGTTTTGCTTGGATTTTTTTTCCTTGTTTTTCGTCCCTTTTTTTTTTCTCGTTTCTCCCTGAGAGTTGGTGTATCTCCCTCGCTTGCACTTACCCCCGCCGCTGCGGAGATCACGCGCGACGTCCGCAGCGTTAGGTGTGTGTGTGTGTGTGTGTGTGTGTGCGTGCGGGGGGCAGTCTACTGGCATCCCACTCGCTTCGTCTCTCATAAACAAGTAAATATATAAATATATATAAATACATAAATATATATACTTGTGTAATGCGTATGCGTGCACGCGTTAAATGGCCACCACTTTGCCTGTCTGCTCCATTTTTTTCTTTCCTTTTTCCCCCTCCTCCTCCCTGCTCTCTCCGCCTGCTCCATCGCCGTGCCGGACTCACTCCTCCACCTCAATAACGGCGTCCTTCACGACCCGTCGGCGTGGGGGGCCCAAGCCGTCGGGGCCATCTGCGGCGTACATGTCCTCCACGTCCGCGTCGTCGGCGCCGAACTGAATGAAGTACTGACGGTTTTCACGGTACTTCAGCACGCCGTAGACTGCCATGGCCACCACCACTACCACCGTCAGACACGTAATCAGCACCGCCAGAAGGTGACCGCCGTACGTCTTCACGACCGTCACGTCGTCGCCAAACGCAAAGAGGTGGCGGCTTCCCTCCACAGATGCGATGCCAGGACCCACCAGCAGCGCCAATTGCTGCTTCCCCAGGGAGAGGATGTAGTTCTGCCTCTCCACCGTGTCGCAGGAGGCCGCCTCTCCAAGGTCCTCGCAAAGGATCGAGAGATACATCACTTGATGCCCATCCGAGTCATGCGTCATGTGCGTCACGGCAAGCGCCGCACGTGGAATGCAAAACCGCTGGCTGAGTGTTTTGAGGAAGTCCTTTGGCAATTTGGTGCTGTTGAAGGTAAATTTTAAGCTCTTGTAGGAGACCCAAGGCGATTCTGGGCTTTCACTTGCCATGGGACATTCCGCTTTCGTCACAGGGGTCTGTGGGGCGCGGGACGCGTTTGGGGTCAGTCGCGCCAGGGGTGGGGGCGGCGGCTGCGTCCGGGCCCACGTCGGTGATACTCGGCACCTCCGTCCAGACGCCGTTGCGGCGCTTGTAGCACACCTTGAAGGCGCCAGCCTCCCGCAGCACCCACGTCCAGAGCGTGTAGGTGGTGCCGGGACCGTAGCTGTCGCCAGGGCCGAGGTTCGTGGCCTCCGACACGCCGCCGGCGGCCTTCGCCGTTGCACATTCCTCACTGTCACTGACGAACTTTGCCCTGTCCCCGCCGGGGCGAGTGTCGAGGTCATATCCGTGGAACTTGACTGTCGTCTTCGCCCCAACGAACACACGCCCTTCCTCGTCCTGACCGCTAACCACCTGGTAGTAGGCGGGGTTACCGTCGAACACGCGAATGACCGCGAGCTCGGCGCCCGTCTGGGTTCCATTGCCGTAGTAGCAGACTCGATAGGTCTCAGGGGTGTCAAAGTAGTAGTCACGCAGCCCCAGCGTCGCGGGGTCGCCAAGGTGAGGCATAGGCGGCAGAGACGGCGGCAGACGCATAATGTGCCCACCAGCACCGCCGGTTGCGCACTCCTTGGACAAGTCGACGAGCTTCACAACGTCTGACTGCGCTGCCCGCATGTCTGTGCCCTGCGGATAGCGCAGGAAAACGCTCGTCGTCGCACTGCGTTTGACGTACACCGTCCGAGGGACCACCGAAACTGCCACCGGCAAACTTTCCTGCTGCGTCGGCTCCGTCTTCTCCGTGTAGCTCATGATCGCACGGATGCGCAGCGAGCAACGGCGGTTCACGGCGTTGTTCATAAAAACTAGGGAGAGCCTACTCGGCCCCGGCAAACGAATGACGACATCGCCGAGGGACCCCCCTGCAAGGTCCTTCACATCAAAATCCGTCAAATTGACTTTACCACTGGCCTTATCCTCTGTTGCTGCCCGGATGACGAGGCGATGCAGGTACTCCGTCTGATGGGCCACGCCGCACGGATCCTTTGCACCCTTTTTCATGCCACCCATGAGGCTGCTCACCTCGTAAGCAAGACACGTCAGTTTCAAGGCCCGTGTCTTTTGCGACAATGCAAAGATGGTCGTCTCCCCACCCGCATCCGCGGACCCTTGCAGTTCGCCCCCCTGGCACGACGGGTACAAGTTCACCCCCTGAGCAACGGGGCAGCACAGGGAAAGGAGGAAAAGCGTGAGGAGCGGAGCCAAGTTCATGATTGCTTTCCTGCTGTTGCCCCCCTCTTTTTTTTTTTGTTCACTTCTGCTTCCTCTTTCCTTCTTTGCTGTTGTTGTTGCTTTATTGCCTTCGTTCGCACAAAAAACAACAACAAAAACAAAACCGTTGATGCTGGTGGGCCACCCCGC